GGGTCAGGGAGGAAGAGGGAAGGAAATGGCTTCCTTACTGCAGCCTTTTCCCTCATCTGCCCCTGGCTGACACTGAAGCTCAAGGTAGGAATGGAAAACATACACCTGTCAGACTGGGGTCCATTGCATGCAGACTGAGCCTTTGTCACATGGGTGAGCCCAGTCTATGCTGGGCATAGGACACAGAGCAGCCAGAGGGCAGAAGACCTTCCCCAGAAGGGTGAAGGGATAGGCCCCAGTTCTGCATGGAATGGAGGGTCTGGGGTCCTCACTTATTATCACCATGTTTTCTCCTGATGGTCCCTGTGCACCTGTGCCTGTCTGAGTCAGAACTCTACCCAAAGAGTCATACATGTCCAGGACTCCCTGAAGGATCAGGCAGGATGATATGGTGACATGTGAAAGGAGAGAGGGGCAGTGCCCAGAGAAGCCTGTCCTTCTGGCTCCTCAAGCTCCTCTGCCCTCTGCCTTCTACTCCTGGCTCAGGAAGCTCTCTGCTCACTGGTGGTGGCCTCCTTTTGGTCCTTTGACTCAAAGAACCCAGGTTTCTTCCCAAGGAGGGCCCAGCTCCTGGAATGGGGCCAGAGGAATGGCTGTCATAACAATAGTCACCGAGGGCTTCAACCCTCACCACAGGGCTGGGAGGCCACCTTGTCAGCTGGGGACAGGTAAAGGGACCTTTTGGAGCAAGAAAGGGGGGTTTTGCTTAGTACAGGTAATGAAAGCCCCATCTCAGCATAGAAATTAGGAAGGCCTGTCTTAGGATGAGGCCCTGGGCTGAAGGATCCTTCTCAGTGTGTAGCTCCAACATCTAGCTCATGGCTGAACACCCCTAATACTGGAGGGTGGACTGGAGGAAGTGGGTACAGAGGTGGGAAACACATCTCAAACCAGGAGGAACAGGTGAGCAGGTCAGAGGAAGAAAAGGAGACCTCAGCACAACTGAAGAACAGAAAAGAGATAGCAGGGCCTGTGGTCCTCCCAGTGGACCAGAGCTTCCTCCTCCTATAAATGGCACTTTCAGGGGAAGCTCAGTCTTCCAGGTGGTGACAAGAGGGTACAACTGACTTTATGTTGCTGGACTTATCCGGGAAGGCAGTGTCCAGGGTGTTTCTGTCCACATACGTCTCTTCTGGCTCCAGACCTCTTCCCTTATCCATCTCCCCTGCAGACTCTATCTGTGGCTAAGGGGAGGAAACACATAGAACAAGGAAAGAGACAAGAGAGGCCTGTACTCCAAGTCTTCTCCTTTACCAACACAGACATTTTCCTGCCTCTTATCATCATCATGTAAACTCTCCCACCTGCTCTACAAAGAATGATCCTAGTATTATACCTCAGCTCATTTTTGGAAAAATTCAGGTTCCTGATGCTGGGGGCCTTTGGCTTAGTGTCAGACAGGCCAACCAGTTCATAAAGTTTACTGCTGCTTGTGTTCAAGGGCAAAAACTATGATGAGGAACAAGTTAGAGTGAGGGCCCCCAACTAGGGACATCTGAAACCAATCTGCCTTGTTGATAATCTCTGCCACTATCATCCTCAATCCCATCACTGGGTGTAACACTTTACCTTGGGCATGTTCTCCTCATGGATGTGCAGGGAGGCAGCCACACACTTTCTAAGATTTGGTGTCATGTCAGCATCATGAGTCATCATGTCTCCAGAAAGCAGAGAGGAGGGAATCAGAATGCTGAAAGGGGCCTGACTGGACCAACACCATCAACAGCCCTTCCCCAAGTCATAACTCTAAATTCCCCTCCAAGACAGATTCCTCTATCCTCACCTGCCCTAAAATTACTGTTCTTGGCAATATCTGAGTCAATGTGGAATCTCTGGATGTCAAGAGCCAGCTGGGAGGCATCATATTGTGCATTCGTGGTCAGCTGCAGAATTAGAGATGGGTGGGGTTCACTAGCTTTAAGGCTGAGATGGTAAAGAGGGCATTAGGTGAGGAGAGGGATGACTGGCTATGGGTGCACAGCTTGTCTTGTGACTGCATTACCTTTATCTGATCCACCTCTTTGGACTTTGGCTCCTTCTGCACAGCATGAGGCACACAACAGGGGCTGACAAAGATGAATATCTTCAAAGAACACAAGAGGGGCTGGATTAGTGCTAGGAACTCTGAGACTCAAAATCAAACAAGACCTCATCCCTTCCCTGCTCTCTTTGCTCTAACAAGCTTTGGTTATGCCCTTGACACATACCCTTTCGTTATTTTCGTCACAAATCTTGCCACACATATCCTTCAATGCAGAGGCAGTGCTGGCATTCTCAACGAAGAAATGGGCCTGCATTTTTTCATAGTGAAACTACAAGGAGAGGGGTGAGAGAGCTGGGATATGAGAAGAGTCCTGCTCATCCATCTTTCCATTTGTCCTGTTTTCTCTCATCAGTCTCATTGTCCTCTCTTCCCTCCACTGGGATGAAAGGGACACTACATTGACTCTGAATCAAATTCAGCAGCCACTTCTTATCATATTTTATGCCAAATGGAATCTAGGCACAAAGGAAAAGATGGGAAAGTAGATTGACATAATGGAATTAGAGGTTAAAATTAGACCCAAATTAGGGCAGCCAGTGGCATGATGGCTAAAGCAGCTGGATCCCACATGGCTGATTCTACACTTCAAGACTGGCTCTGGTGGCTTGAAAAACATGCTGGGCACATTTTCATGCATGCCCAAAATCCCTAGAAGAAAATGGAGGAGAAAGGATTGTGATGTAGCCATCCTGCCTGGGGTGTCCTTTCTCACTTTCTCTCTCTCTCTCTAGTGAGAAAAAAAATTTGGACCCAAATGTGTTCCTTTCAGACCTATTTTTAGGCTTTAAAATTATTTCTAAAATATGACAACATCCTTTATGTCTAACTTTTATACAAATTGAGCATCCCTAATTAAAAAATCTAAAATATGAAATGCTCTAAAATCTGAAACCTTTTGAGTGTCAGCACATGACACAAGTAGAAAATTTCCCACCTCACCTCACATGATGGGTTGCATTCAAAACACTGCAATACTAAAATATCATATAAAATTACCACAAGCTATGCGTATAAGGTATATATGAAACTTAAATGAATGTCATTTCAGACTTGGGTCCCATCTCTAAGATATCTCATAATATATATGCAACTATGCCAAAATCTGAGAGCATTCAAAATCCAAAATACTTCTGATCCCAAGCATTTGGAATAAGGCATATTCAACCAGTACCAAAGATAGATTTTTTTTTAAAAGAGGTTTTTGCTATAGGGCACATGTGCTCGCCAGACAGAGAGAGAGAGAGAGACAGAGAGACAGAAAGCGAGAAATCACCCCCAAGGGGGGATGGCCACACCGCAATCCCTTCTCCTCCATTCTCCTCTCGGGATCTTGGGCACGCAGGCACACACACCCGGTGTGAGTTTTAAGCCACTGGGTCCGGGACGTGAACAGTGGTTGACCACATGGGAGTACAGCGACATAGCCATTACACTAACTGCTGGTCCCCAAAGATAGATTTTCTAAATGCCATTTCTTTCCATTTAAATATACTTCAAATAATTGACTTAAGATGTTGAACATAAGGCTGGCTCCATGGCTTAATGATTAAAGCAGCAAGATCCCACAGGGCTAACTGCATGGCTCAAATCCCAGAACCAGAGACTTGGAAACATGCCAGGTACATGTATGTGCATGCTTAAATTTCCAAAAGGGAGGAGAGATGACGAAGAAGATATTGCAGTGTAATCATTCCCCATAGGGAGCTATTTCTTTCTCTCTCCCCTCTCTTTCTCTCTCTCACTGGTGAATACATGTACCCTCTAGCAAAAAAAAAAATAATAATGTTTAACATAAACTTCCTTTTATAAAGTCTCAAGAGATCTTAACTAAGGAAGACCTGGCCTACCCCTTTGACAAGGACACCAGCGAATCAAAACTCCCAACCCCTGAAAAAAAAAATCAGTTTGAGAAAAACTGAAACATCAGATATGGAGTTGTTTCACCTCCTTACCATTAGTTTCTTCCTTTGCTCATACATGACCTCTTTTATTCTCCCTGTAATCAACCTGTTCCCTTTATGTTGTTTCTCTGATTTTGTCCTTAGGTGACCTAGGATGCCAACTCTCAATAATAAAAAAGACAGATTACCAACTGCTACACCCCCAGAAAAGTACCTAGTCTTTCTACAAAAGTCCAACACAACTCCCTCTGTTTTCTCTCTTCCGAATATTGGATTCATTTTTCCAGGACACTCACTGTGATCTTGAACCAGCTCCCTAAGGTCCCATCCTGCTGGTTTCCCTCCATTCTTCCCTCTGGAGGTTTTTGATCTCTCTCGATGTTAACATTGGTTTGGTCTTGTTTATTAGAACTGTCTCTCTGATGATAGGGTACAATGGTATAGGGAGTGCTGTGAAGAAGTGGAGAAAAATAAGTAGTTGGTATATGTTCAGAAACTCTTTGTTTTGTTTTGTTTTTTGGAGAGGTTTTTGCTATAGGGCGCGAGCGCTCGCCAGACAGACAGAGAGACAGAAAGTGAGAAATCACCCCCCAGGGGAGATGGTCACGCCTCAATCCCTTTTCATCCATCCTCCCCTCGGGATCCTGGGCACACATGCACATGTGCCCGGCGTGAGTTCTAAGCCACCGGGTCCGGGACGTGAACCGCGGTCGACTACGTGGGAGTCCAGCTACATAGCCATTATGCTAACTGCTGGTTCCCCAGAAGCTCTTATATACACATTTTTTCCACTAATTCCAGGGCTGCAACAGTTTGTTTGGCTATTAATTTGGTCCTATGATTCCCCCACTCTGTCAGGTTGGAGACAAGAATGATATAATTTAACTACTGGGTTATGTATTTCACTGTCTGGTACATTCTAGCCATACTGACTGATCACTTACTATCTTATTCGGGAGTCCACGCGGGCATCTCTCACTGCTGAATCTCCATCTCGCTTCTGGTGGGATGAAGATTGCACACCAGAACTGACTTGTTTAGACAAATTGTTGTGTCTCCTTTGCCAAGTCCCCTGGCATCTAGTTCTTCTTGAAAAGGATTTAACTTGGTGACTATGCCCTTAAATTGAAAAAAATACATCGATGTTTAGAATATCAAAAAATGTCTTGAGAAAACATAATGGCTAATTTTTAAAAATCACTTATTTTTATAATCTAAAAATAAATATATCACAATGCCAAAAGTGTTGAATGACTTCGCAGTAGTTCTAGTTCCTAGGAGATGAGAGATTGAGAGTATACATAGCAAGGAAAAAACATAGTGGGAAGGATCTACTCAAAGGTCTTATCTGATATTAGTCCCTGTTCTGCCCTTTTCAGGCTGGGTAACCTGTGATAAATTGCTTATAATCTCTGACACTTACCTTTCTACCCTACTTGAGGAATAAAAAAATCTTCCCTGAAAGTTTCCTGTTATGGTCCAAGGGTCAAAGGCAAGCTCCCTGTCTGAAGGAAGAATTAGAGAAAGGAAAGATAAAGCTGAAGAAAATATCCACGATAAATCTTGGAGAGAGATAATTATGGAGAATACCAAAATATAGAGGGAGAAAACTAAAGAAGATGTAATTAGTATGTCTAACACATGTTTAATTTAAATCCCAGAAATGGGGAGAGGATACAGTGGAGAACCATTGTTGAAGGAATTTTGATTGAGAAGCTTCCAAAAGTAACAAGATAGCAAGTCAGTATGAAAATAGGAGAAAAAGTATTTGAAGGGAAAACATACCTAAAGAAAATACGTACATTTCATAATGATGTTAATGCAACAAAAACTAGACAAAAATGTGACCAGAAGCCTCAAAGGAAAGGAAATATTAAAGATTCTTCTTCGGGTAGAAGAAATATGATACCAGATGGAGATAGTGGTGCAGGAAAGAAAGACTAAAGATATTTGTCCATATGTAGGCAAATCTAAGTGATTATTGACTACATAACACAATAAGTTTTTTTAGAGGTTTTAATTTGTATAGAATTAAAATGCATGACAATAAATATGGAGGGGGCAAATGGAGTCAAAGGGTTCAAGGGTCCCTGAATTGTCTGAGGAGATAAAAAAGAATTAATTTACATTGGACTATGATAGGGCAAAGATGTTTATTACATTCTTAAGAGTAGACATTATAAAAGTGGCAAAATAATATTTAACTACCTAAGCAAATGAGGCAAAATTTTAATACCTGAAAATATTAAGAACTTCAGGGCCACCAGGTGGTGTGATGGTTGAGGCACTGAATTCCCACATGTCTGACTACAGTTCAAGTCCCGGACCTAATCCTGGACCTGGCAGCTTTCTCTCTCCCTCTCTCTCTCTCTCATCTTTGTCTCTGTCTGGTGAGCACATTTGCCCTATAGCAAATTTAAATAATAATAGTATTAAATAAGTAATTCAAAAGATATTAAGAATGTAAAAGGAAATGAGAGGAAAGGAAACAGAATAGGCAAAAATAAATATATAGTAAAATGATCTATTTAAACCAAATGATATCTATGCTTTCATTAGAAATAATTAGATAAATATTCAAAATTGAAAGGTGAATAATAGCAGACTAGGTAAACAAAGATTGCAAGCCAGATTATGATAGGCATTGTATGTCCCTGCTTAATACATACTGAATGTCTGCACTCTATGGCAGAAATTGAGATTGGAACGTATAAAGTGGCAGTTATAGATACTAAAGACACTATAGGAGGAAGTGGGTAATAGAGGGTGGGGGGAAGAAATCAGGGGAATAAATTTACAGATGCAAAAATGAAAAGCTACATGTTGATTAAAATGTGTATGGTAATATTTTTACCAGACTAATATACACTGTATTAATGCTGGGAAAAACCATTTGTATGCTGTAAAGATGTACAATGATGAAATGCAAATAAAAAATACAAGTGAAAAACAGATACATGTAAAATTTAATGATACAGAAAATTTGAAAAAAAATTTTTTGAGAGGTTTTTACTATAGGGCACATGTGCTCTCCAGAAAGACAGAGAGAGACAGAGAGATAGAAAGCAAGAAATCGCTCTCCTGGGGGGATGGCCACGCTGCAGTCCCTTCTCCTCCATTCTCCTCTCGGGATCTTGGGCATGCACACACACGTGCCCAGCGTGAGTTTAAGCCACTGGGTCCAGGACTTGAACCTCAGTTGACTACATGGGAGTCCAGTGACATAGCCATTACGCTAACTGCTGGTCTCAACATCTGAAAATTTTAAAGTGGCAACGTACACACATACACACCATTTATACACTAAGCAACTGTAACCTTATTTAACCATATTTGTGAAAAAAGAAGTACATTTTAAAGAAAAAAAATACTAGAGAAAAAAGGGAGACTTCACAATGACAAAAGTTTCAGTGAAACAAGAAGAAATAAAAAATAATTCTAAATATTTATATATGTTTTATCATAGAGTCAAAATATACAAAACAAAAATTGAGTGAAGTAAATGGAAATAGACAAATTCACATGACTGTGAGAGATTTTAAGACACCTCATTAACAGATACAACTTGCAGGAAACATAGAGATTATTTAAACAATATGAGTAGCAAATTTACTTAATTGAGATAAGACACTGTACATAAAAGCTACACATGGATCATTTTAGAATAGGGTCATAAAGCAAACCTTAATAAACTCCCATGGATGTGACATTAAATGGTTGGTATGAAGATTCAAGGGTATTAGTGGGTTCCCTGCCTGTGTCCCACCTCTAGTATGAACACAAAGAATGCTAATTTCCACCAACTTCTGCCTCAGGTGACCCTCCCATACCTCAAACCCTGGACCCAAGAAGACCACAAGACTTTCCCCTCAATCAGGGGGAAAACTTCACCTCAGCTATGCCATAAGAGGCAAGATTTTCCATGTGGAACCATGACAGGTATCTCAGCTCTCTTGGCCCTTATCTGATGAGTTGAAAACAATTAGCCTGAGCCCTCACCACCCTCTACCTCCATCTAAAAAGGGGTTGGATGGTTATCATCTAGGTTGGGGAGCGGCATAGGAAAAGGCCAACAATCCCTCCTGCCCTGTGGAGACATGATGCCAAGGCCTCATGCTGACCAACTTACCCATGTTGTATCCTGAAAGCAGTGATTTGTCACCAATGTCCTTACAGATTCTTGTAAGGAGAATCTCTGTGGTCTGGAGCTGGGAATTTAGAAAATATGAAAAAAAGCTGCTGAGGAAGGCAAGAACAAGCTCAACACTAGTTTGTCAGGACTACACAAATAAGATGGAGTTCTTACCAGAAGTTCCAACCACAATGGCAGAGAGAAAAGTGCTGGATGTGAGAGGAGATTTAACTTCCAGCTCTTACTGCCTCTAACTTTGCTACAAATCTAACACCCAGATAGCTGTTTCCAACAAAGCCACACCTACTGAGGTGGTTAGCTACAATCAGGAGACCCAGGACCCAGTTACTTGTTGCTACAAACACAAGGAATTCTGTATTCCAGGATCTAGGTAGACTGTATTACATTGTATTCCTTCATTCTGCAAACCCAGAGAACTCTGAGTATCTGATATAAGCCAGGTTCTATACTTGCTACATGACGTCTGTTTATTCATGCATCTCTTACAAGGGTACACTGCTCTCAGAGTCACCAACTTTCTGAGGTTTAATGATATGCAGTAGCTCATCTGCAGTCATTCAGATGTTGCCTGGAGAAACAGAATACAAGAAAGAACCATGGAATGGGAAGGATGGTTACCCTCCATGCTGAGGTTTAGAGTATTTTGATATGTGGGATTTTCATAAGTTAGGGCAAAGTTAAAGAATGTGTTGAAAATGGTCACATGGCTGAAATTAAGTCCAGTTCAATCCAGTGAGACAATACAAGAAACAGACCTGGAAAATAAAGTTTAGTAGGTCATTGTAATGATAGTAGGAAAAAAATATTTCCTTTAAAAGAAAAAATAGTCTAGATAGATGCCCATAGTGATTAGAGCCAGAATTGTAGCTCTAAAAAGCAGAACAGAGGTCTTTGTAATAGATAGAGAAGAAGGGAGCAGCCTGGGCTCCAGTGTATTAATCAGAATTTCTAGAATTTTCCATTCCTTGTTCACCGTCCCATCCTGGGTCTCTCTCCTAGAGGTGGAAATCCAACCTCTGAGTGAGCTGAAGAGAAATCTGTATGTAACAATATGTGAACATTTGGGGTACAGGAAGTGAAAAAAAAGCACAACTACAGAAGTAAACTCTCAATACCCAAGTTGAAATACTTATTTCTTATAAGACAATAACATGTGAAAATTTTTATAAAATGGTAAAAGCTCTAGTTTGAATATTCCTGTCTCTCAAAAATTCATGTTGGAACTTAACCCCCAATGCAACCTTATTAAGAAGTAGGGCTGGAACCAGCAGATGGCATAGTGGTTACATCCCTGAGCTCCCACATGGCCAATCTCAGTTCAAGTGCTGGACCTGATGGCTTGAAAAATCATACCAGTAGTGTGTGCGTGCGTGCCCAAAATCCCTGGAGGAGAATGGAAGAGAAGGGATTGCAGTGTGGCCATCCCCACTAGGGGGTGATTTCTCACTTTCTCTGTCACTGTCTCTCTCTCTCTCTCTCGTGAGTGAATGCATGTCATGGAAAAAACCTCTAAAAAATTAAAAATAGGATCTTTGCCATAGTAAAACTCAGACCTGACAGAACTCAGAGGCCCCTTATTCTAAGTTGGCACCCGTGGATGGAAGCTCTACATCCACCTGGCAGAATGGATTCTAGTTCTGACTCATGTCACCAGTGACCAGCTACAGTGGTCTCTGACCCCAGATAAATTTCAGCAACAGGGAAGTCATAGCAACTTCAAGCCTTGGCTGCATCCTAGGGCTACACTGGTCTCAGAGGTCATAGATCTGGATCTGATCAAGGGAATTCCCATGTCACCCCTTTCCTTTACCCCAGGCAGCATAGCTTTAAAAGAGACACCATCCTCTTGGGGGTAGGGGGAGAAAAGTGTATGACTCTGCCTTGAAACCCAGAACCAAGCTCTCCACAGTAAAGCACAGCACCAGACTCCAGTCCCTGGCCAGCTTTACCACATTGTTCAGGAATCTTCTTTGGGTCTTCCCCAGATCTATCTGGATCAAGGACATCAAAACATGTTTAAGAGTCACAGGAAATGTGGGCTTATGACTCCCTCTAGTGCTGAAATGGCTTCAGTGATCACAGGTATAGGAACTTCGGGAGTCATTTCCTTTGAATTCATGGAAGGCTTTCTGAAGAAAGACAGATACAAACAAAAGCAGGCTGCAAAGATTGGAATCAATTTCTAATGCTTCGATGTCCAGGCATTGATGTATGTCCACAAGCAAAAAGAACTCTCAGGGAAGGGGTCAGCAGGTGGTGTAATGGTTAAGGTGCTGGACCCCCACCTGGCTGACCACGGTTCAAGTCTTGCAGCTTGCTTTCTCACTTTTCCCCATTCTCTCCCTCTCTCTCTCTCTCTCTCTCTCTCTCTCTCTCTGGTCAAACAAAAAACAAATATATAGGGACCAGCAGCTAGCGTAATGGTTATGTCGCTGAACTCCCACGTAGTTGACCGAGGTTCGCGTCCTGGACCCGGTGGCTTAGAACTCACGCTGGGTGCGTGTGCATGTGTGCCCAAGATCCCGAGAGGAGAATGGAGGAGAAGGGATTGCAGCGTGACCATCCCCCCTGGGGGGTGATTTCTCGCTTTCTGTCTCTCTGTCTCTCTCTGTCTGTCTGGCGAGCGCACGTGCCCTATAGAGAAAACCTCTGGAAAAAAAAAAAAAACCTCATGCCAGGCCTGTGTGCGTACATGCCCAAAATCCCAAGAGCAAGAGCAAAATGGAGAAGGGATTGTGGGGCATGGCCATTCCCACACCCAGGGGGTGACTTCTTGCTTTCCATCTCTCTGTCTGTCTAGTGAGTGCATGCATTCTATGGCAAAAAAAAAAAAAAAATCTCTTTATAAATCAATAAAGACCTGAATAGATAATTCTCAAAAGGTGTATGAAAAAAAATGCTTAGCATTACTAATCATTAGAGAAAGTAAATTAAAACCAAATAAAATATCACCTTGCCCAATTTGGATTGGTTATTATCAAAAAGATAAAATAAAAATGCAAGCAAGGATGTGGATAAAGGGTAACTCATATATTCTGTTGGCGAGAAGGTAAATTAGTAATGATTATGGAATTATCCATTTCTATTGATCATCATAGAACTAGAGAGTAGCATTGTGACCACCATAGAGGCTGTAGAATAGAGAAAGTGAGGATGGGATGACTTGCATAGAAGCTAGTTATACAGAAAAAAATAGATTCCAGTGTTCTCTTACATAGTAAGATGACTATAGCTAATCATAATGTACTGTATATTTCAAGATAGCCAGGAAAGAGTAAAAAAAATGAATGCTGTTGTCACAAATAAATAATAAATGTTTCAAGACATGGATATGTTAATTAACCTGATTTGATCATTATACAATAGATACATGTATTGGAACATCACAGAAAGGGACCTCTTTGACTTCATTGTGGATTTCCTGGATGAACAGCTAAAGAACATAGATTATCTGGAATACCACCTCGCCCATCAGAAAAAATTAGAAGAGCTGGTCCAGCAGAAAGACCTGTACAAAAAGCCTGCTTTGACATTAAGTGAAGAAAAACTACCTCTTCTTTCCCCCCCCGCCCCCACCGGGCACATGTACTAACCGGAGAAAGAGAGAGGGAAAGTGAGAAATCATCCCCTGGGGTGATGGCTAATGTCACAACCCCTTCTTCATTCTCCTCTTGGAATTTTAGCAACTCATACACACATGCCATTGGGTCCAGGATTTGAACTGTGGCTGGTCATGTGCCCTAACCATCATGCTACCTGCTGGCCCCAGAAGAAACAACTTCTAAAGGCAGTACAGCAAGACTTTCCATTGCAGTAGGTCTCAAAATCTGCTACTTATGACTTTGTTATTTTCATTTGCCTGAAGATTGTTTACTGTTTATCCAGTTTCCTAATCTTTAATGCTGTGCTTGTAAGTAAGTCTCTGCATTTAAAAAATACATAAACATATACAATCATCATGTGTTGAAAATAAGTAATATTTTAAAAATTCATGTGAACTAAAAACAAGAAAGAGACAGGACCTTGTCTTAGCCCATTTTCTTCTACTAAACAGGATATCACAGACTGGGAAACTTAAAATGAACTGAAATTTATTTGAGTATCACTGCTCCAGAGGTTAGGAATTCCAAGAACTGACATCTGGTGAAGACCTTCATGCTATGCCATCTTGTGGCAGAAGGTGAAAAGCTGAATTGAGTGTACAAGACAGAGGGAGAAAAAGGAGGCCCAAGTCCAACAATAACTAACACACTCTTTTTTTCTTTTTTTTTTTTTTTTGGAGAGGTTTTTGCTATAGGGTGCATGTGCTCGCCAGAAAGACAGAGAGACAGAAAGCAAAAAATCACACCCCCCCCCGGGCGGGGGGATGGCCATGCCACAATCCCTTCTCCTCCATTCTCCTCTCAGGATCTTGG